GAACATTGTTTGTAATCATTATTTTTTTTTTTTTTTTATAAAAAGGTTTAGAAAGCCAACATTATTGCATTTTTAGTGCATTTTATACGTGTTCCGTAAATGGAACATTTGGTAGTTGTGGTCTTTATTAAAATTAAGTTATTTTTTACGGCTTTTTGTTATATATTTATACAGCTTTTTTGTTACTTTGATAAATATAGTTTTATTATTTAAGATCCAGTTTTTTGTATTACTAGCTCAACTGGATTACCTTGATTTTATTTTTGTAGCTTTATGTGACTGGTATAATTTATTATGATTCACGGTTTTTATAGAAGAGGGAACTTGAGCAAAAACACGTCTAGATTTGTTGTCTTTATAAAAATAATTGTAGAGTTATTTAAAGTTGAATAGCACATATTTGCTTTGTTTCTTATACAGAGCATTCAAGGGTTGGACGCAAATTAAAAAAATATATAGGTACATATATTTCTTCTATATACATCATAGTTCTATATAATTTCTCATTATAGATGAATAATATTTAAAAATCTTAGATAAAGGAAAAAGAGACATGCAATAATATGTGATTTATCATTTGCTCATGAATCTGATATGGACAATGAGAGTTCGGATGATGATTATAACATTAATGATATGCAACCTAAATTAAATAAAAAGCTCAATATAGATGATGAGGAAGCACACAATGAAGAATCTCTTGATTACGATTCAACAAAACAATTTATTGATATGCAGTCAAAAACAAAAAAAACAAAAATAATAAAAAAATAAATCAACCTAAAAAAATTTCTGTAAAATAAAACTTTTGCAAAAAAAAAACTGCAGTTTGATAAGTGGTCAATGGAAACTTTATTAAGACTGACTCAAAAAAATTTCTTAGCAAAATACCAGATTATGAAAAGTTAAATACTGGTCGATCTTTACCAATTGATTTTTTTTCAAATTTCTTAAAATAAGATATGTTTGAACATTTACCTAATGCAACTAACATTTACTCTGTAGAGAAACCCGCAAATCAATCAACGTGACACCAAGTGAAATTGAGCAATATATTGGTATCTTGTTCCATATGGGAGTAATTCAAATGCCATCTTTTCGTATGTATTGGGCGCAGAATCAAGATATAAAAAATCGATTAGAAGATATTAAAAACAATTTCCATATAGCATTTAAAAGTGATCTCATTAGTAAAGAATATCGCAATTATGATAATTTATCATAATTGCGATAAATTTAGACATATATCATATTTATCATAATTATGACAATTATGATATATGTTTAAATTTCGCCAACTACATGATTATGTTTTACTAAATTGCAACTTCATTGATCCGGAAGAGTATAATAGTATTGATAAGCAGGTTGTTCCTTATAAAAGTAAAAAAAACTCTATGCGGCAATACAACCCGAAAAAGCCGTGTAAATGGGGATTCAAATTCATAACTCGATGCGGTGCTACATCTGAGACCATTTACAATTTTTTCTATATACTGGCGCAGAGAAAACAAATATTACACCAATTTCTACTGTAACACAAAACACCACTGCTTCATCAAATTATGTACAAGTTACTCATTCCGAAATCACAGCGTTCATTTATAACAGTATATCGGTTTTATAATAATCCATCTCAACAAACCAAAACTTCGAATATATTTTTCCTCTAACTTCAGCATCAGCTTCCAGTGAAGAATTAAGAAGACTAATATGGTACAAAAGTAAAAATCAAATCTCTATACTACCAAAAAAAAGGCGGTTGAAGCAAAATTTAATAATAGCGCTTCAACTATTTTGGAAAAATTAGAACCAGCTGGTACATCTGCTGTAATGAAATTAGTTAGAAAAGTACCAAAATTTAAAAATTTCAAGATTCCTTATCTACTGTTAGACTAAATAGATTTCAAATAAAACTAACTCCAAATTTTGAAAAGAAGCCAAGAAGTGCTATTGAACTTCATGTCAATAAAAATGATAGTATTAGCTTGATTTGTTGGAATAATAGCAAATCTCTCAATTTGTTATCATGTTATGCTGGTACTGATCCAGTGTCAACAATCAGTCGATGGGATGGTAAAGCTAAAAAAAGAGTTTAAATTGAATTCCCTGCAATTATTAAAGAATACAACAAGTACATGCGCAGTTAGAACTTTTCCTTTTTACAAGCATTATTCATTAGTACTGAGGTCTTTGATTTTTAATGTTTTTAATATTTTAATTGGTCATTAATGTTATATTCGGTTTTTAATGTTTTAAATTTCTTCAGTTAGCCATATTGCTAACTAAAAACTTTTAAAACGTCTATATATATATATATATATATATATATATATATATATATATATATATATATATATATATATATATATATGATATATATATATATATATATATATATATATATATATATATATATATATATATATATATATATATATATATATATATAGATATATATATATATATATAGATATAGATATAGATATATATATATATATATATATATATATATATATATATATATATATATATATATATATATATATATATATATATATAAATGATAGGCTTGGTTTATTTTATATATATATATATATATATATATATATATATATATATATATATATATATATATATATATAAAAATGATAGGCTTGGGTTATTTTTATTAATTATGTAATTATAAGTTTTGGGTCGATCTATCTGAAAAAAAGTTTTTTTTTTCTTTTAAAGCTAAGAGCTAGAATAAATAAATTAAACAAATAGTTTGTTACATAAACTATTGATTGGCTGGATAAATTAAACAAATAGTTTCTTGCATAAACTTTCAATTTGCTGGATAGTTATTGTCAACAAATAAATGAGACTTAATAACATTAAAAAAACTTATTACAACAATTATCACCATTTAAATCTAATAGCATTTTTTAAATTGAAATAATTACTCCATTAATATACCAAAGGAGCGAAATGGACAGGGACTGCGAAAAGGACACCAAACTTTGGTGCAACATCGAAACAATGGTCCAATGGCTCCAAGGATGTTTTGATGTTGTCCTAACGGAGTTTGCTGCCTGGATTGACAATTCCATAACCAAAAGATGTTGTTAAATTCACTTTTTTTAGATGAAAAGTAATTCGCCTTCTTAAGTGTAACTCTTATTTTCAAAACCAATTATTTTTTTGTTTTTCAAAACCAATTGCGATTCTCTTTCCAATTCATTTTTATAAGTATTTGTAAAAACTTCTACGATTCTATGTATCTTTAAATTATTTAGCTGTTTTTAATGATGTAAATTTGTCAGAACTACTTTTTAATAATAAAGTAGTTGTTGTTGATTTATAACCATTATCTTTATATTTATAACCACTATCTTTATATTCAAAGCAATGAATACTTTAAATAGTATATATTTAAAAGAAAAAGGTTTCTCTTAATGTTTTACTAAACCTCTACCTTTAACTTGAAGAAGAATTAGTTAATTTAAATATATGAATAGCATGCGACCATATTGAATTTAAGATTCAATTTTTCTGATGATTTCTTCATTAAAATTATTTAAATTAATTATAATCATTGCTTTTCTCCCCATACTTCAATTCTTGTTATAAACAAACCATTGTTTTCCTCAAAATTGAATATATTTGATTTAAATATAATATATACATTTACACAGACACACAAGTGTATGTCTGTGCAAATGAAAGCACAACATCACGTTTCATTTTGTTTATTACGAATATAGTTATTAATACGAATATACTTAATAATTCCAGCCGACATAAACATTACTGATTTAACGGCCATCAAATTAGGTTAACTATCAATTACGTCAACCCTCATTAAAATGAAGTATGTTGGTTAGCCGAACTACTATAAAAACTTGGACCGGCCTTAAACCCCCTGAGAAGTCTAGATAAAAAATGCTGATTATGATTAGCATTTTTTTTAAAGAAATAAAATAAAAATAGTGATCAAAATCGCGTTAAAGTTTAGTATTTTTTATTTAGACTTTTCAGTTGGTTTAAGAGCAATCCAAATTTAATATAGTAGTTCATATTTCATTTAAACGAGGGTTGAAGCGTAAATATCGGAAACTACCGATATTTACGCTATATAAACGAAAGTAATTTGCGTATTTTGAAATTTAACCACAATTTTTTTTTAAACGTACACCACGCATAAAAACTTATTTCAGACATATAAAAACATTTTAACTACTTAGTTTTAAATTTGCACGATAGATAAGAGTTCGTCCATAAATTACGTCACGCTATAAGGGGGGTGGGGGGTGGTGGTGGTGGTTTGGTAGTTTTGCGACGACTCATACAAAACTTGCTTCTAAAGTGTTACGATTTTGTGACGAGGGGGAGGTCAAAATCTGTTAAAAAATGCGTGACGCAATTCATGGACGATCCCTTAGCTAAAATACGAAATAGTATAAACCGCTTTCATTAACGGTTTTATTTGTCATTTATTTTTGTTTTATTCGTTTTTGAATTAAGTTGAATATAGAATTTACAAAAATCTTACATAAAATTAACGCGAAAACTTGCTCATATATTTATTAAAATATTAACACTTTCTTTTCCTTACATATTATTACAAATAAATTAATTTTTTAAAAGTTAATCAAAGTTTCATCATTTAAATAGAACTATAAAATAAAAATAAGATTTCTTTTTAAAATGAATGCAAGGATAAATTATGTGGATATATGCGAGGATATATTATGTGGATATATGCGAGGATATATTATGTGGATATATGCGAGGATATATTATGTGGATATATGCGAGGATATATTATGTGGATATATGCTAAGATATATTATGTGGATATATGCGAGGATATATCATGTGGATATAAGCGAGGATATATCATGTGGATATATGCGAGGATATATTATGTGGATATATGTGAGGATGTATTAATTTATGTAAAATAATACAAATAAAACTTGTATAACCAAATAAAGTTTGCATGAAAACAACGATTTTAATTTTGGTGAAAATGGAAAATTATCTCTTTTAATAATTTAAAATTTTGAATGTCTCGTGCGTATCCTCATACTTTTACAAAGCCTTTAGACATCCTATGTGATTCTTGTTTCTTTAAATCCAACATTGAAAGTCTTATGACATCTTTTTGTAAACCTTTTGAACATCTTATGTGTTTCCTTTTACTTTTGCAAAACCGTTCAATGTCCTATTTGTTTCTTCTAAAAGAAAAGTTATAACTTTGTTATTAGGGGCGGAAAATTCATTTCAGGGAGATGTTATTTTAAAATGATGGATTATAACTTGTACTTTACCCAACAACTCGTCAGTAATTCTTTCAATTTCTCAGTAAAAATCACAAGGATTTAAACAAGCAAGTTAACAAACACACGGCAGGTAATCAATGGTCAAAAAAGATGCATTAAAAACTTACGATTTCTAGTTGTTAATTTAAGTAGATTTCTGATGTAAATTCTGTTTTCGTCCATCTGCGCTTCTAGTTTCTCTCTTCTTATGCGTTCAAACTCAAGATAATCTCTTAACTTTTGAATTGCTCTAAACAAAACAGCATATACGTAAGGTTAAATTAACCGGTCGAATCACACACACGTTTATTAAGCTGACCAGAAAACTCTTTTTTACGTAGAAGGGCACAGCGCCTAAACTTACTTAACTTAATTTATTGCTGTGAAAAAAAGAAGACCAGAATATTCTTTTTTACGTTAGAGACGTAAAAAAGAACATTCAGGTCACCCTAACACACACACAAGCGCAGTAGTAGTGGTAAATGTAAGCAAAATGTTTCTCCATCTCCAAAAATTCAAAAAAAAAAAAAATCGGTTGATTTTTAATGGTAAAGCAATTTCAATTTATTTTTTAATTTTTCCGTAGAATGTAGCTTCAATCACCTAAATCACAAAGGTATGCAAGCGTAGAATTAAAAATAATATTATCTGTAGTGTAGCTAATTCTTTTAACAAGAATGATGATATCCAGGAAAGACATCAATATTCAAATAATTTAAAATATATATATATGTTCCGCCTGAACCGTCTCAATCAAATTAGTTGAATGCTGCCTAGTCAGGTCACATGAGTTCGCGTTCACTTCTTGTTTTAATTAAAACTAAAGACATCAATATTCAAATAATTTAAAAAATATATGTATGTTCCGCCTGAACCGTCTCAATCAAATTAGTTGAATGCTGCCTAGTCAGGTCACATAAGTTCGCGTTCACTTCTTGTTTTAATTAAAACTAAAGACATCAATATTCAAATAATTTAAAAAATATATGTATGTTCCGCCTGAACCGTCTTAATCAAATTAGTTGAATGGTGCCTAGTCAGGTCACATGAGTTCGCGTTCACTTCTAATAGTTATAAATCGCCGGCCGGAACTAAATAATCCTTAAAAAATAAAAATCTTAAAGAGAATAGTCTCAAGAGATTTTGTGACACTTGACAAAAACTCATTTTTTTCAAGAATGTGCTGAGCATAAAACGAGAAATTAAATTGGCGGAAGAAGCAGAAAGTAATAAAAAAATTTTGAAATGATAAAAAGGGTTTCTGGGCAATCTATTATGAGTCGTCCTGCTAGACCAAAAAAACAAAAAAACAAAAACAAAAATAATTATAAAGCATCTTTGTGAGATCAGAGATTCCACAAAGATGCCTACAGATTCGGTTAATGCTTTTCTTTTTCTTCTTTTATTACTTTATTATAATTATTAATAATTATTGAATTTAAATAATTATTACTAATTATTATAATTAATTAATTATTACTAATTAAAAATAATTAATTATTGAGATATTACAATTGTTTAAGGCATCTTCAAAAATGCAGCATTCTTTTAGGCCGACTTCTAATTAAAGTTATACATATGCAAGTGATGATGTAGCTATACTCAAAGATAATAATGATTGAACAAAAGATTTTAATATATAGAGAGCATATAAGCATAGAATATCTTTTTTTATTATTAATCTATTGGTTGATAACTGCGCAATCACCAACGCAACACATGATATAGAGTGTCTTGTCAGCATGTTTATTTTTTCGCTTGAGTGACTATTTATAATAAGTGGCATTTGGTTAATTAACAAAAATGTATATCATTTTCTTGTGTTTTGCCATCTATGCTGTCATCCTTGCCTTTTTTAAGTGTTTTTTTCAACTATTGTTTTTTTTTTTTTAAACTATAATAAATTTGCATTTTAATAGAGTTTTGAAATTTTAAATAATTTGTTACTATTTTTTTTTTTTTACACAAATCAATTTTTATCTAGAACTTTTAAGAAAGGGTGATAAACATTTAATTACAATCATAAAGATGATCATCACCATCACTATTATCATCAATTCAAATATATTCATATTAACCTTACAAATAATATTCTTGATAAACCCCTAAATCTGATCAAATTTTCTTTTTTAACTGCCTCTGCCTTTTTCACCAAAAAAGAAATACTATTGCCAATCATCAGTTTATGCTCTATATTAACAAACCACTTCGACTATCCCTTGAAGATGCAATCAGAAAAAATTGTTATTTCTCACAAATCTAACTACTGGTCAGTGTACATGCGTCGTCCGGGGGACGTCCGTAAGACATCTTCCGGATGACACGTGCCCTTTGGGTAGCCAATATTTCATGGCTATACATCATAACACAATGGAAATGTTTTATACTAATGTCTACATCATGTTCTCTTCAAAATATGTTTTAAAAATAGAGTTGTATTGCAAAAATTACTTTAAAAAGTTTTCTGAAGGCAATGAAACAAAAAGCACAAACTACACATTTTGCTTTGAGCATTTTGATAAAAAATAAATGTTTTGAAAAATATTAACCATAGTCTTTTAAAAAACAAGTGTTGATGTTGCAGGTACAATGTTGCTTATCTGTATTGCAACTAATTTTTTATCGATTTGAATAGATGTAAACATAAAATGATCTAACTTTTTGTAGATATTTTAATAAACTAAATCTAACTTTTTGATGCTCAAAAGTTAGTTTAGATTAAAAAAAAAACTTAACCAAATCACAAAACGTTAGAGTATACCATATATTACTCTGGCTAGAAGAGCAGGATGCCTGTCAATTATGGTACCCCACTCTTCCTTACTTTTATAAAATGTTATCAATTTTTATTGTTTAAATATATACTACAAATTAATCATAAATTTAAATCAAATTTAAGTATATAATAACAATACCGATCTTTTTCTTCCAAAGTAGCAAGCAACATTTTCTTTGATAAATTTATATACGGAGAAGCAGCTTCTTTTTCAACTTGAATATCAGAAGCACCAGATTCTTTAAATAAATAAAAAGAAATAGAAAAAAAAGTAAATGGTTTTTCTAAATTTATAAAGGAAAATATTTACAAACAAATTTATTGATCTAAATTAAATCTAAATTAGAAAAACTTATGAATTTGAGTTAATAATTTATCCCAACAGTATTTAACAGTACTTAATATATAGGTATTAGAGTTAGACATTTAGATTAATTGATTTATTAAGAGCAATAGTTGTGTGAAAAAAAAAATCAGATACCATGTTAAATAAAGTTGCAAAATTTTAAATTTTGCTTACAAAGTTTTTTACAAAACACTTAAAAAAATCTTTGAAAAATTTTATACGTCTTATCACAAAAATCTTTTTTAATTTTTTTGTAATTTTAGCAAAAATTTTTTGAAAAAATGCTTTCTTTATTGCAACAATTATTTAACAAATGTTATTATAATTATAAATAATGGTAGTGAGATAATGGTAGTAAGAAAATGATAACGAGATCATGATAGTGAGATAATGGGAGATAATGCTTTGTAAATATTAGGTATTGACCTTCATACCCCTTATAGTACATTGCTCAACTTGTTTCTCTGGGCTGCTGCCTGGCTTTACAAGGTATTTCAGAGTAGGAATTTTGAGGAAAGTCTGCACTTAAATTATGAATTTAATTTAAAAACAAATTTCAAAATTTGAAATTAAAAAAAAAAACTTATACATTTGAGTTGATGTTTCTTTAACAAAAAAAATATTTAATGAACGAGGAAATTTTTTTTAAATTCATTTTTCTAAAATTGTAAACCAAATTAAATCTAAAAAAAATTAAAATTAAATTTTTTTTCTTCAATAAATTTGTTTTAAAAATAGGTTGCAATTAAAAATTTAAATTTGATTTTTTTAAACATTAAAGAAAAAAAAAGTCAATGTTCATTCATTTATTCAATTTATCTCTAAAAGTAACAAAACATCACTAAAAATATTTTTAGTGATGTTTTGTTACTTATAAAACAATGCAACAAAATCCTGTATAACTGATCATTCAAATGCAAAGTTGCATCCTTTAAATGAAAAAAATAGAAAAAATCCTTTTAATCAACTATCGATCATCCTTTAAATTTAGTAATTTTTGACTTTTCTTGAAACAGAACAACTTTTTGATAAAAAATTTCAATTATCAGGCTTTTTGGAAAATACTAAATAAATGTCAAAAGTATTAACACCTGTTATAAATATATCAAAGAAATGTCTTACACTTATATCAAGCTTTACACATAAAACATGCTCATTGGATTCATATTACTTTTAAACTTGACAAGGTTATAATTTTCGAACAACAAGAGATTAAAATCGGAATCCTGTTAATTTTAATATAGCTGAATTTTCTTTTAAAAAAAGACTTTTATAAAATGTATTTTTAAATGTTAACTAAATGGAACAATAAAAAATCTGTGTGTGGTTCTAAAATGGGAAACAAATATAAAATAGCAAAGATCAAAAGCATTAAAAACCTTCTGTTAGTTTTTCACAATTCTGTACTTCATCTTCAGTTTCACATTTCTTCTCTTCAATTAGAGATTCATCATTTGAAAAATTTAATTCAACATTTTCTTTATCTTAAAGTAGTAAAATATAAAGTTAAATAAAAGTATTTATCATTTCCAATGTCAGGATATAAAAGATAAAACAGTTAAAAAAACATTTAAAGATATTTAGTATAATACCTACGTTTGAGTCAACTTTATTTCCAAACTGCTCAGAAACACTTTTGATGTTATCTATAGAAAGCAACTTCATTTTAAGAGCAAACATGTCAGCCTTTATAATAATAAACATTACCAGCTTTTAAAAGCAATAGTTTTAATCATTATTGTTAATAGTAGAAGGTATTGCAAACCTTTTGTTTTTAAGAGCAAAGAACATACTAAAGGTTATACTGAATGTTGAGTTTGAGCTAAAAATATATAACTATATATTTTTTTTTTTTTTTTTTTTTTTTTTTTTAAACATCTTCACTTCCAACAAGGCTGCAAGCAACCACTATAAGAGTTGGAAGTTACTGGAAGAGAAAAGACTAAATCTGTAGAGCAAGATAACGATTGACTGATGACTTAAAAGATTGCAAATTATATGAATCAGGAAAGCAAGATGAAGGAAGCGAATTCCAAAGAACTGACGTTCGAGGAAAAAAACTAGAAGAATAAGAGTTTTTGAAGCACTTAGGAACAGTCACAGAAAAAGGATGAGACTTAATTGAATGGCGAGTAACACGAGAATGAATTTTAGTAGATGGCACAAAGGACGCTAGCTCTTTAGAGCAGTGCCCATTATAGTATTTGTAGAAAAGAGAAAGAGAAGCAACATTACGACGATGTGACAAAGGTTGGAGATTGGCTGCCAGAGCAGGTCCAACTATGTTTACAATTCGTTTTTGCACCTTGTCTAAAAGAGAAAGAGCATCATTAGAAGATCCGCCCCAGATGTGGCAACAGTATTCCATACAGGGACGGATTTGAGATTTATAGAGATAGAGAATAGAATCTGGAGTAAGAAAGTGTCGAGCTCGATAAAGAGATGCAACCTTAGCAGATGCTAATTTTGCAATGGATTTGATATACGGTTTAAAAGAAAGATCAGAAGTAAGAGTTAATCCTAGAAGATGAATGGTAGATGACTCATCTAGTACATTACCATTCATAAATATAGGAAGATCTAAATTATTACGATAACGATTGGCCGAATAAAATTGAGTTTTATCTGAATTAAAGTTCACCAGCCACTGTGAGCCCCATGCTGTAGCAGAAGTGAGATCCTTTTCAAGCTCAGATACCCCCTCCAAGCAATCAGAGAGTGTAGGCTTCTTATCATGACAAGAGTAAATGGTAGTGTCATCAGCGAATAATGCCACCTTAGATGTGAGAATATCTGGAAGATCGTTAATGTAAATTAAAAAGAGTATAGGGCCAAGGATTGAACCTTGAGGAACCCCTGAAGTTACAGGATGTGAAGAAGAGTGTTGTCCATCGAGGACAACTTTTATACTACGATTGGAAAGAAAGGACTCAATAATCTTAAAGACGTTACCAGCTACACCATAAGAAGAAAGCTTATGGAGAAGACCAGCATGCCAAACTTTATCAAAAGCTTTAGAAATGTCAAGTGCGATAGCCTTAACCTCTCCACCTCTATCTAATGCACGGTAAAACCTATCGGTTATTACTGTTAGCACATCAGCTGTAGAACGAGAAGACCGAAATCCATATTGATGATCAGAAAGTAAGTTATTTGATTCAAGATGAGAGATTAAGTGTTTGTTGATTAAAGATTCAAAAACCTTGCTTATGACAGGAAGAAGACTAATGGGACGGTAGTTAGATGAATCATATCGCTCTCCGGAATTTTTGAAAATAGGGATAACAGATGCTGCTTTCCAGCATGATGGAAAACAAGACTCTGATAAGCACTTGTTAAATAGTTTAGATAGTATGGATGAAAGCTCCGGAGAACACCTCATTCCTGTTGCAAGACTACAACAGGAATGTTGTCAGGACCACAAGCTGTTGAAGAGTCTAAGCAGGAAATTACTTTAGATACAGAAGCTGAAGTGATGCGAATGTCAAGCAAGGGATCAACCTGTTTGACGGCTATGTCAGGTAAAACGCAACTAGTGGAATCAAGAGATGATATTGATGAAAAGTTCTTAGCAAACAATTCAGCTTTGTCTTTAGGTGAGGTGACAAAGTCTGAACCATACAAGAGAGAAGGAATAACAGATTTGCCCTTATTATTGATACTGTTAAAGATTCTCCAGAAGTCTCGAGAGCCTAATTTTTGTGATGAGATACGAGATTTAATGACCTGGGAATAGCGAGCTTTGGCGTCAGACAAAACCTTTTTACAATGGTTTCTGGCGATAGTCAACAGATGTCTGTTTTCTGGAGAATTGTTTTGCTGATAGATATGGAAGTAACGGTTTCGATTAGAAATTGCTGCAGCGCAATGTGAGGAAAACCAAGGAGAAGAGTGAGGCTTGACCTGGAATCGTCGAGAGGGAATAAAAGATTCCATGCCAGCCTGAATTCACGAAGTTATGTAAGAAGCACATTTGTCAGCAGGAAGACGAAAGATTTCTACCCAAGGGCCATCACGAAGAAAATCACGGAAAGAGTCCCAGTCAGCTTTAAGGTAGTTGTATGTGGTACGATGATAGGGGGATTCTGATGAAGTAGAAGAATTTGATAATAGTTTTAGAGAGATCAAACCGTGATCAGAAGTACCTAAGGGTGAATGTGGAGAAATTGAGCACTGACTAGGATCAAAAACAAGACATAAGTCGAGTAGAGAAGGTAAATGATTAGGGTTGTCTGGAAAACGAGTTGGAAAGTTGACTATTTGAGTTAGAGATTGAGAAAGGCAAAAGTTGAGGGCCTTAACGCCAGCAGAGTCACTGACACTAGAGCCAAGCCAATCGGTGTGATGGGCATTAAAGTCACCAACAACGACGATATTGGCCGATGGATAAAGAGAGAGGGCTTGATCAATTTGATCAGAAATAACATCAAGAATAGTGCAATCTTGGGATGAAGGAGAGCGATATAGAACAAAGAGAAAGGCGATAGAGTGAAGTTGTGCTAAACGAAAGCACATAAATGAATAGTCTGTAGATTCAAACCTAGTTTCATGACAAATGGGTGAGTTCTTACGAATGTAGATGCCCAGGCCAAGCATGTGATTATTGGAGTCTTTACGAATTAAAGGAAGATAACCATCAACACTAAGATCACAAGATGGGACAGCCGAACTCAAATTAGTCTCACAAAGAGCAAGTAGGTCTGGTGAACTTTGCAAGAGATAAGACTCAACAGAAGAAAAGTTACTTCGAAGACCACGAATATTAGTAAATGATAGGTTTAGAGAACTTGGTGATGACGATGGTTTTTTGTGTTTTTTAGTTTTAGGTACTTTAGTCATTTTAAATTTATAAAGAACTTGACTCAAGTATAGATAGTACTCAGTACACTATTTAACAACTAAGCAATAGCCTCATTACTATTAATAAACCCTAAGCCGTAACAAAGGGCTCCAAATGTGGCCTCTGCAATGCACACCAAAAGTACAAACAGGGACACCATCCATGCGCAACATGGCACTGTTAGTACTCTGATATTTTTCGGTTGTTGATGGAATCAGCCTCTCTGAGAGCTACCACAGAGTTCGGGAAACCTGACTACCAGCCGGCCTCAGAACCATAAAACTGAGTTTTAGAGCTGTACCCTCATTAGGAGATAATAGAATGAGTTGCCCAGTCATAAAAATAGAGACACAAGCAATACCCACGCATTGAGTCAAGAAGATCCAGCGTTCAACATCCTAAAATGGAAACAATGTATTAAAAATACATCTGCGCCAGCCTAACAGATGAGGAAGGGGTGCGAGGCTGGTCAACAGATAGAATCTGTTTACCCCTTAAGTCTTTGCCTAGGAGGCCTTCTACAAGACAGCAGCTGGATGCATGTAACATCTGCCCAAGATGAGTATTTTTATCGAGACACCATCTCTAGCCTTTACTCAACCAAGAGCCCCAAGGCAGGGGGTGTTTTAATTCGGAGTTAACTTCTCCTAGCCTTTGCCTAAAAAAGTGTATCCTACAAGGCAGCAGGACATAGAGCAGGGTGTACTGGGTTACATGTTACCAGTAGCAGGAAAACCTGACCTGACAAGGTCAGGTTTTCCTGCTACTGGTAACATGTGGATATGTGGCATGAGAAGGGTTGATAAAAAATAGGTTTTTTGGTTAAGGTGGTACACCCCCATTAAATTTAGAATTTTTTAAGAAAAAAACGATTTTTCAAATATTGATTTTTTTTAGTTGATAGAACATTTCTATGATTTTTTAAATAAATAAAATACGTATGTAAAAATGTGTATTCTTTGGCCATTATAGGATTTTGAGGCCCATAGCAACGCCATAGCAACACATTTTTAAACAAGAAAATTTCAACTTGTTCAAGCTTCTAAACAACAATATCTTTTCTATACTTCAGTTTCTTCTTTATTAAGTGCTTTATGTTTAGCGATGTTGAGCTTTTTTTTTTAATGTAACAAACTTTTTCTTTGTTTTTTGTATTTTATCAAAAACTCATTTTAAGCAAATATGTAATTTTTAAAACATGATATTTTCAGATTTCGACCATATGTTAACATGAAATTTTCAGGGTCCTTTTGTTATTGTTTGACTTAAGTAATGAATCAGATTTAAAAATAAATATGGTGTCAAAGTATATTTAATACCTTTTTTTTCTTGTCTTTTTTGTTGAAAATTTTTATAAATCTATTAAAAATTACTTTTAAAATGCTCTACTCATTTTCAATGCATGATTCTAGTTCATAACCTGGATTAAAAGAATTTTTTGAATTAAATCAAAAAAGATTTAATTCAAAAAAAATTCTTTTAACCCAGCTAAGATTAATATATCAACTCTCTATTTCATTATATCCATGTATTTTAATACATATAAAAGAATACAGTAAAATGGATAATCTAATACAATGTTTAAAAGCATGCATTTTCAATACAATACAATAATGCATAAAAAGAAATATAATAGTTTATGTTTTTTGTAAAAAATATATAGTATATTTAATAGATTTGTTATTTATAAGTTTACTTGCTGTAATAAACTTACCCATTATCAATTCAACACAGCTATCATTTAAGTTTTGAACAGCAACCATTTTTGGAGTTTGACCCTATAATTAACAAAAACATGTTTTAAAGTATTTAATTTGGTAATAAATAAAAATAAAAGTAAATAAAGTGTTAAAATAAAAACTTTTACTAATAATTCTAACTAATGTATTGTTAATATATCAAGACAATGTGAATCTAAACCTGCAGAAATGTAGGCCACCACAGTCTTAGTACATACAAATAGATACTACTGTTGTGGTAACTTTAACATTCATGACACTAAATAGCTTTATTTCACTGAATAACTACTACGCTACCACTGAAATTCTGGCTCTTAAGCTTATATTATTTGTACTTCTTAATATCTAGCTCAGAGAGTTAACTGCGACTTGTATTGTAGACAACCCTATTACTTTAACTCATTGATTTATCTTGTCCTTATTCTGACTCTAGCTTGCGCCAGACCATAAAGATCAAGCTATGATCTGAAGCACTGAAGACTTTTATCTTGTGCTTCTTTTACATTAGATTCACTCACTTATCTCACTAATCACACTGCAAATTTTACATTAGATTCACTCACTAATCTCACTAATCACACTGCAAATTTTATATCAGATTCACTCACTAACCTCACTAATCACACTGCAAATTACAGCAAATTGGGATTCTTTTTGTGATTTTTTTTCTGATGGGGTGACGTATTTTGTCTCTGCAAAAAATTGTTCCTCTTTTAAAATATCCTGGATTCAGGCAGGTATAAAAGATTTTATTCTGCTTGTTGGTTTTTAGTCAAACCTATATTCCATGGTTTTTCTTGAGCAGCTGATATTGCTAATCTTATCCAGATTTTTTATTTTTTTGCCAAAATTAAATCTCTTGATAACAAACACCTATTTTTCATTTTAAACAATCAATGCAAAAAAGTATTGTACAAAACCGAGGTCCATTAGTCTCAACTTACTAAATTTTGTACCTCATCTCAGAGGCTAGATTTTAGAAACTCTTGGAAAATCTTTTCCTCTGTTAATATTTATCAAATTAACTTTTCCTCTATTAATTTCTTCATCTCATCTTTATCCCCACACTTTTTTTGTCATCACAAAGAAATAGGTTAATCCATTGTTAGACATCCAAATCACTACTGCCTTTGTTATTAAAGTTATTTGCCACTTCAACTCTAAACATTTTTGTCACAGCATGCCATAGTCTAACAAGTCTCTCTTTGTCTAACATAGTCTCTCGTTCTCTAACATAGTCTCTCATAGTCTAACATAGTCTCTCTTTGTTTCTCTCTCTAAACTATTTAACAAGTGTTTAACTGAATCTTATTTTAATGTCTGTTGGAATTTAATAACTGTAGTTCCAATTAAAAAAAAAATCTGGTGATTACTCTGACCTGTCTAACTATTGCCAAGTCTTTTAACTAATGCCCAGTCTTTCATCTTACTATTATAAGCAAAATCTTTAATTAACTTTAACTTAACAACTTACTCTCTGACAATCAATACAAATTTTTATCATCTTGTTTTGCTACTGACTTACTGTTATAACATAAAGGTTCAATTTTGGTGTATAGTTAAAGATGTATTGTTATAAAAGAAAAGTTCATTGTGGTGTATTGTTATAACAGAAAAGTTCATTGTGGTGTATTGTTATAACAGAAAAGTTTGTGGTGGTGTATTGTTAAAGGTGTATTGTTATAACAGGAAGATTCTATTGTGGTATATTGCTATAACAGAAAGGTTCTATTGTGCATTAGATAGAAGTGAAGTGGTGATGCAAAGAGTCTTAGTATTTCTTGATTCATCATGGTAACCATAACCATGCTTTTTTTAACCAGGTTACAAAAAGCATTATCCTGTTTTTTCTTTTGCTTTTAACTTTTTATTTTCCTCTAGTTTTTTATATTTCAACAAATAGCCTTATTATTTCACTGTTGATTTCTACTCAATGAACCTTCAATATTTTAGATATCTCAAAATTCTTGATAGTTTGATGAGAGACAAATGACTTTTCTTTTATATTTTCACTAAGCATATTACTGTATATGCTAAAGTCCTTCTCAACTCATCATCTAACATAAAAATTAGTTGCATTCAGAAAAGAAGATTTAAACTCATTTCTAATATTTTTTAAATAATTTATTAAAAAATCGAATCATCTTTAAGCGTCTGTTTGATATGTCACTAAGATTTTCTGTAACAAACTAGCAATGTAACTAAAAAGTATAACTTAGTAAAGGTTAATTCATTATTAGCTGTCTTTAAGATTATATTATAACTCTTGCATTATCTTGCTAACAACTTAGCAGAGCTTCTCAATACTTTGTCATTTTATAGTATTTACTCAAGTTAAATATAATCTCTCTGCCATGCTCTGATATTCAACCCTTCAACCCCCTTAAGCAGCTATCACGCAGTGATTACCGCGCTTGCCTCAGAAGCTAATGATCCATAATTTATTGCCACCTATGGGCAAGTTTATAATATTGGTAAAGAAGGAGACAAACATTTTTCAAATGCCCTTCTGCTGTGCTCTGTCATAAGATCACAACGACTTCTTGGGACAGCGAAAATTTAAAAAAATAACCCAGCGTGTTGGTCAAAATACATAGGAAAAGTTCCCACAACCAGTGACAGTTACATAATCAGCTTTTTATCTGTGCCATTTAACAGCCCCTTTTCACAACACAGATCATCCAACCATTCTTAAAAAAAGTTATCAGTTAAAATTATTAAAATATCTGTTTATTCTAAAAAAAGAGAATGAAAACAAAGTATGATTCAAATGATTTTTCCATTATGACTTTCATATTCACTTTCATATTTCATTTTCATATTCAAATGACTTTCCCATTATGACTTTCCCATATTTTTAATCAATTCAACTTTTTTCTCCTAACTTTTCTTGATCAAGCCTCCCAATAAACTCATTCGGTTTTTCATCTTGAACTTTTTTTTTGTATTTTGTTGTATTGTATATAATCACATTTGCATTTTATTTAAGACAACTTGATCATGGCTGTTTGCAAGTTTTTATTAAACGTTAGAGTGGTTGTTATTTTTAGCAGCAAGTTGAACATTTAGCAGCAAGCTGAACATTAAAAAGAATGATTTTCCTATATTTTATTAGTTGTTTTTTCTATGAGGAAAGTGAATATATAAATTGGTATCTGTTTGTAAAATATAATTAAACCAAATTTTTTGTATATTGTAAAATATACAAAAACCAATGATATTTTATATAAACTAGATGTCTAACTTGCAGAATTTTATTATTATTGCAGAATTTTATTATTAAAAGCAGCATAATTTTTACAAAAAATAATGCTGTTTTTTTTTTTTAATAAATATAGTCCACCATTTGTAAAAAGAGCAAAAGCTGAAGCCGATGCGTGAAATAAAAGTTAAAAATGCAAGTTAAGAGCATCAAAAGTTCCCAATAAATAAAAGATAAATCAAAAACACTTTTTTACAATTATAAAATATTTATAAAAGTTTTTTATGAGAATATGTTTATTAAAAAAGTTTTATGGTTCATAAAAATGTCTGTCATTTCACTTTTCTATTCAAAACTTTAATCCCTTTCTAATTGAAAATAAATTTAGCAAACATAAATTATTATATTGCAAGTGTTCTTAAAAATGAAGTAAATTATTTAAAAAATATTTACTTCATTTTTAAGAAAACAAAAGTTAAACAATATTTTTTTAAAAATTTAATCTTCCATTTGTAAAAAGGGAAAAAGTAGTTTCACTTTTCGGATCAAAGTTACACATCTAGTATAAATAATGCATCATTGAAAAACAGCTGTAACCAAGTTTTCTAAAATAAAATAATCATGCATGGATCAGCAATTTTTGGTATTAAATTGCTTCAAGCTGGAGTATATAAGAAATATGAAACATAAGAAAATAAGATCTAACTCAAAAGTAAAAAAATCCTAAGTTAACTAGTAGCTAGCTAATTTGAAACACGTAATTTAAAATAAATTTATTTTAAATTACGTGTTTCAAATTAGCTAGCTACTAGTTAACTTAGGATTTTTTTACTTTTGAGTTAAATCTTATTTTCTTATGTTTCATATTTCTTATATACTCCAGCTTGAAGCAATTTAATACCAAATTTAATAAGCAATTTAATACCATGCTGGTCCATGCATGATTATTTTAAACATAAACAATAATAAAACATATCAGTGATTTATTTATTTTTTCTGGATTAGGTTTTCAAGCTAAAAAGAAAAGTTATCTTTAAATCAAAAATATCTAAATTTTTATTTTATTTCTAAACTGTTTTTTTATAAATGCTTTACTTACATAGCTCTACTTAAATAGCTTTTATGTAAAGCGTAAACTGTAAAAAAGATATTTACAGGACCCAAGCATGTCTAAAAATTGAAACAAATTATTTTTGTTTAATTATATATGAAAACACGCAGGTAAATGTTTTACACCAAAAATTCATTAATTATAAATCACCCTTGTTTATGCTGATGACTAAAATGTGCAAAAATTGAAAGTCTTCTCAATTCTATTTTATTTTAAATTAATTTTTTTTACATATAACATGTTATGTTATTTGCATATAACATGTTATGTTATTTACATATAACATGTTATATTATTTACACATAACATGTTATGTTATTTACATATAACATGCAACTTTCAAATTTTGCACATTATAGTATTATGGTCTAATAAAGAGTCCCGCTTGAAAGAATTGATTTTTTTATTAAAAGTTAAAAATTACTGGTGCATACGAGGCACTTTTGTATGAATTGTATTTTATGTATAGTATGTCTGTGTATGTTAGTTAATTTGAGTTATACATATATGTATTTTTTCAGTTAATTGTCTTTTTTTTTTTCATTTTTATGGAGAAAAAGGTTTAAAACATAACAAACTTATGATTCAAAATTTTTTTAAATAATTTTTGTCGTTATCGTTATTTTAACTACTATGAATTTTCATTTTAAAATTAACCATTAATAAACATTGACCTTAATAATGAACAAGTTTGTAAACTAATAAAGTAAACTGTAAAGGTTATATATTATTTATATAAATACTCTAAAGAAGTTGCATTTGCTTTTTTTTTAAATAAATCCCTTTGCAATTTTGTATTGCTTTACGTTTTGTGTTGATAGACAGATTGGGTTACCATCCTGTTGGTTTATATTGTTAAAAATTATTATAAAGTAGTTTCATTACTGGCTTTCTCTTTTTCTAATTATTTTAAAAAGTTGTTATTACTGGAAACCAAATTGATGATACAAATATTTTGGCAGATTTTAAATAACTTTGCAAATATCAATAACTAATGATAATTACCTAAAAAATACATTACTCTGTTATAATGTTCAAAATTGAATCCACTCTATATAACAATAAAAACAAGCCTGTTTTTTAAATTTTTTTTTTTAACTATACTTTATTTTCTAAAAGTCTAAATTATGGTGCCTAATGTTATAACTAATTTTAAAAAAAGCTTAATCAGCTATAAAAATAACTGATGATATGTAGTCTAAACTTAAATACTATGTATCTTCCAACTTAATTAGTGATTGCATATAACCTGCAATTTAATCAGTGGTTGCATATAACCTACAATTTAATCAGTGTTTGCTTGTAACCTGCTGGTTGCTTGTAGTATTGTCAAAAGCGAATTTGTAAAAAAAAAATTGGAAACTAAATTTATAAATTGATAAAAAGTGTATATAACTAAAGACAAAAAAAATGCTTAAAATGTTTAAAAGTTTTTAAAATAAAAACTAATTTGAAATAAAGAATACCTTATCATTTGGATTCTGAAGAAGTGTTAGCAATGTCAGTATACTAATTGCTTTAGCACAATTACAGAGTACTTTTAAACAATCGATTTGTCCTTCAATGCAACACAAGTGAACTTAAAAATGTGAATATAAAAATTTAATTGTTTATCAAAATAATTAAACAGTTGACTTTTGGTATCTCGAACTATCGGGTACAGGAAAAAATGTTTGAGATACCAAGAGTTAGAGATATCGAGTAGCTGAGATATCAAGAGTCAACTGTACTATTAGACCTTTAATAAAAATAAAAATATAAATTAATAAAATCTGAAAGGAGGAAAAAATCATAGAGGAAAAACAAAAACAAACAAAACAAAACAAAATAAAACAACACATCAAGTATAGCTCAAAACATATTTGTAATGAAAATATTTTTAATAAACTACAGTTTAAAATTCTTACTTAGATTATTTCCATCATTATCGACAGCTTCAATATCACAGCCATGTTTTATAAGTATCTTAACAAGCAAATGAAATGAAATAAGAAATTTAAAAATCAATTACAATTTCTAAACCATAAAGAGTAAATTTAACAGAAAAAAAAATAATCATGTAACAGCCTGTACATTTAAACAATCTAGAGTTCCGTGGTAAACTGAAGTATGTGCTGCTGTCCAACCTAAATGATCTTGATGCTCTGCATCCTATAAGTAAAAAATTGTTGACAATACTTTTAATACAAAATATTTAAAATTTTACAGTATAAAATTACAATAAGTTTGGTTTGAAAATTAAATACATTTTTATAAATTTACTATTTTATTTATGTTTAAAAAATTTTATATTAAATGTAAATTTGCTAAACATTTTTAGACTGAGCTTTGATATTTCTTTATTAATAATTTATATCACTAGGGTAACATTAAAATAGATAACATTACAATAGGGTAACATTACAATAGTTCATATTCATAGAGCCCTGCTTACTAATATTGAATCAATGTTTTTCTTACCCTGTTCCAACTTTAACTGAACTTTTTTTGTATCATAAATTTATATATAGTGCACATTCTGTATCAATCTATATAAGTTGGTATATGCATATGTATAGTTATACATTTTGCTTAATCATTAGGCAAGTTCATTAATCATTGAACATAATTTATTAAGCAAGTTTTTAATCATCTGCTAATTTTAGTTTAAATAATTTGAAGGTCTCTAGTGTCTTATTATATAGTTAACTCTGAGCTCACTTAATAACTTGTAATCAAATGCATAAAAGTACATTTAAAACTATTAAATAAGTTTTTGAAGTAAATAATGAAAATGATGACCCTAAAACAGAGCCCTGCAGCACATTAGTAGAAACATTAGATATGTCTATCAGACATAACTATTGTAGACATAACTATCTGATTTTCCATTTTAAAAGAATTATGAATTCAACTACTTACCTAATTCAAAAATGCAATTATAGTGGTAAAATTTATTAGTTAAAAGTGGTGAAAATGAGTTAGAAAAAATACTCAACATTTATTTTTCTCTTTTTTTTAACAAAACAAACAAAAATAACATTAAATATATAAAAATTTAAATCAAGGTTTGAAGTGATATACACCCTATCTCGATATACTCCTTTTTTCAGGATATACCTGTTAAAAAACCATATTAAAATTCATTAGGCTCTCAATATTTAGGAACTAAGTTTCAAAAACAAATAAAATACAATAAAAATTGCTATCTTATCTGAAAAAAATACAAAAATTGCTTTCTTACCTGACCTTGTTTCAAATATATTTCTAGTATGGATGAATGACCATGGGAACAAGCTAAATGACCAACTGTTTTATCTACCCAACAAATTAAAAGAAATAAATTTGACTTCAAATGAAAAAGTGCAAGGTTATAAAACACACAAAAATGTACTAAATAAAATTTATAATAAATTTATGATAATATAGAATTTATAATTTTCACAATTAACTATATGCGCAGTAAAAAAAACATGCTAAAAAAAGGAAACAGTTACACTTATTACTTTGTACACTTTACACAAGATTACCTAACGTACCAAGCAAATTCTTGAAAAAGATTTTTTGAAAAACATACGGAACACATATAAACATACGAAACATACGAAAAACATATTTAGGAACAGATCTAAAATAATGCTCTAAAATAAATTGTTGTGTGTGATATAGTCAAGGTTCAAAAAGGTTAACCCATTTTATCAATAGAACGGCACATTAAAAAAGCCAATAAACATACTGTGACATTGATAAAATTCTATTAATTTTTATACAATGTTTTCGATTGCCTGACATTATAAGAGTATAATTTACCTAACAGCTTATCATATTCTATGACGTGAAATGCCTTAATGAACAAATTAATAAATTCAGAAACAATTATTTTACCATTATTAACAAATTGAGTCAAAAAGAACTTTTTAATTGAATGTTATTAAAAGAAACTAAACCATAATAGTAAGTTATTTTTCAAGATTTGTAAAAAATTAGGAAAATACATCACTCTAATATTTTTGACACTATATATAAAATAGGTATTGAGTGAGAAGGAATAAATATCAATATTTAGATTATTGGTTGGATTGAATTTTTGGAGTTAACTTATACAGTTTTTAATATATTTGATATTGTCAAAATTAATAGATATAATAAATATAATTAATTAATTTTGAATTGCAATAACAAAAGCTTCAAAAAAAAAAACAACATTAAAAATCATTTTTTATCCTAATAGTCTGAATTATACTTTGAATTAAACTTTGAATTGTACTGAAATTGTTTATTCAAAAACCAATACACTCCTAAAGAAAAATTAAATGAAAACATTACCTAGAAACAAATTGCATAGCAACAGATCCTAGCAACAGATCATCAAGTAAGTTCTGTCATAAATGTCAATGTAGACATTCATGATAGCAGAACATTTTGATTCCAAAATTTTCTGATGTCATAAGCACATACTTGAGTTTATTGACAATTAGAATGAAAAGTATGAAATTTCCCTAAAAAGGTTTCTTCAAAACTCTATAAAAATAATTTAAAGACGTCTTGTGATTTGGAGTAAGAGAGCATCAAAAAACAAGTCATCAAAATATGGTTTTTAAAAAAAAAGAAGATTTAAAACAAAAATTGTATTCAAACATGACTTAGTATGACCAATTAATTTTTGATTTGTATTTGTAAGTTATCTCACAAGGTTAACACACATTTGTCGTTGTGTCTTGTTTTATCAATTTCATAATAATAAAAGCACATTTAAATGTTAAACCAATAACATCTTTGGATTAGGTTAGAAATAGAAGTGGAAATTTATAGAAAAATTCAAACTAAATATTAAAATACAATTAAAAACAAAAAGTGAATTTTTTAAATCAAATTCCTACACTGCACAACAAAATACACCCTCCCCCCATAATTGTGGGGACACGCAACTGTAGACAGTTCCAATTGTGCACAAAAACTTAAATAATAATTTTATTTTGATATTATATGATAGCGCGTGGACCAGGTTGGAATAAAGACAATTAGCAAAATTTATTTTTAACTCACATTTTTATTTTATGAGTGAACTTTGATTTGGTGGTGAAATCAGAAATTTGTTGGTAAAAAATTGTTCAAGAATTTTTAAGAAATGAAACATCTGTCGTTGGTTGCAAAGATTTTGTTTTTCAGCGAGCTAATGCTTTCAGAGAGCTAAGATAGTAAAAGATTATTTCAACAACAGTGAAATTAAAATTTTGAAATTAAAAATTTCAGAGAGCTAAGATAGTAAAGGATTATTTCAACAACAGTAAAATTAAAATTTTGAAATGGCCAGATCTCTAGAACTGAATGTTATTGAGAATACTTGAAAACATCAGTCAAATAAAGTGTAAGTAAATAAAGTGTTTAAAGGTAGTAAACATTATTCATGAGCTAACTTTAAGTTTTGCATTGCATCTACATGCAAAATGCAATTGACATCTTATACAGAAAAAAGTTGCATGGTTCTATGTCTTAAAATGATTGAAGTGATTCAAAAAATAATAGAAACACCTGCTATTGATTTTTTAAAATTAAGACTATTCTCTATAAAATTTTATATAATTTTCCTCAAAAATACCTTATTTTAATGCACTGAAAATACAATTTTTTTAAAAAAAACTTTTAATAGGTTTAATATCAGCTTTGTTAAATGTTGGTTAATGTTGATAACTTTTGGTTTTAATTTACTATAATAATTAGTTTTGTATAGTAGAGTTTTATAAAATTTTGAGGGGTGCCTTGACATTTTGTCACTAAGTGTGGTAATGATGAGTTTTAATAAAAAATAATATCCTTAAACTAAAAGACATATAATACATAATTTATTACTTCGAGAGTCTTTCATACTAATATCAGCTCCTTTGTTTAACAATTTCTAAAAAAAAAGTATTGTTTTTTTAAAAAACCGCAATAATAATGACTAGTAAGCTTTTTTTAATTAATAGTGTTTTTATTTTTATTTTTTAAAAACATGTTTTTAAACATGTGCAAAGTGAAATATATATATATATATATATATATATATATATATATATATATATATATATATATATATATATATATATATATATATATATATATATATATATATACATATATATACATATATATATATATATATACATATATATATATATATATATATATATATATATATATATATATATATATATATATATACATATATATATACATATATATATATATATATATATATATATATATATATATATATATATATATATATATATATATATACATATATATACATATATATATATATATATACATATATATATATATATATATATATATATATATATATATATATATATATATATACATATATATATACATATATATATATATATATATATATATATATATATATATATATATATATATATATATATATATATATATATATATATATATATATATATATATATAGGCTTGCTCGGAAAGCGGTGCATTCACTGACTTGATAACTGACCACGGAAATAATATTTAGTTGCAAAAAACTGGCCAGATGTTTTAGTTGTTGTGAGAACATTTAAGTTTATGTATGTTTCCTTGTTTGTCCGCAAAATAATAATTAAGTTCATTATTTTATCACAAATTTTAAAATATACAAACAATTAATTCTATTGGTTCAAAAAATACTAACCCGATGTTCTAGAATATTCTGCTGAAATATTTTTAAAAATTGTATTATTTGAGTTTTGTTATGTTTTTGTTGAGATTTCTAGCATAAATTACTTTAAGAATATACTATCAAACGAACTATTACTTTAGTTCTTGGAGCCTAAGCTATAAATGTTTTAAACTAACATTATTTGTTTACAAAAATAAATGTTTTAAATTTAATTTTTAACTTGTCAACGTTTTATAAATATGATTTTATTATTATATTCTTACTTTTTATATATAAGGGATGTATTTTTTATGTATGTAATATATTTTTATGTTCATATTTTTTATGTATGTAATTTTATGTATATGTATTTTATTCAAATGTAATCTTTAAAAGCAATTTGTGCGGTTGATTTTGTAAACAATAGTATTTTCAATAATAACTTTTAATTTTCAATGAAACTATTAATAATCATTAATACAAATAGTTTTAACTGCTAATCCATTTTCCTCAGTGTACTTGATAACTGATTCTTTCCGACAAGGAAGAAAAGTTTTTAAGTTCTTAGAAATTGGTTTATTAACTTAAATTATTTTTGCTTCAGCCATTCTTACAAACTTGTTATACCTAAACTCAAAGCTACTTTTTTCTGTTTTAAATACTAATTAAAATTATGAACCCCACTCACTAAACATGATCAGCGAAATTGTGAAGCAGTTCCGCTTCCTCCTCACAAAGTTATTCAAAGTTTTTAGTTAATTTCTATCTAGCTAATTGAATTTCTACAGTAACTCAATGATTTAATTATTCCATTTGTTCATCTTACTAAAAAGAATTGTTTCTAACGTGTTAAAATTTTTAAACTTCGCGAAGCATAAAATAGTTATTGAAAAAACTTTTTTATTTATAAATAAATCATCTAGCGTTAGTTTTATTAGTTGAATCTTGTTGGACTTTACAGGGCCAGGTACTGCATTATTTTGGTGGCCTTTTTTATTTGCCACTGCGTAAAAATGATTAAAAAAACACCAAATGGTCTTTTTAACTATTTCGCGGCCCCTAACATTGTGAGTCCCGGGGATATAACCCTTCTAGCCCCACCTTCCCAATCCAGTACTGAAAATAAGACATAAATATATAAATAAAAATTATATATACTATTTGATAAATCAAAGAACATTTGTTTCCTTATTAAACAATCATTAATAGTAAGTTGTTACTTTATAAAAAAAATGTTGTTTAATTTTATAAAAAAAAATTATAAAAGAGCGACGTTTTAAAAAATATTTCCTCTAATCGTATTTATTTTGCTTAAAGGGATCCCCAACTGCCAAGACAAGTTGTGTTCATATTAAAGAAAATGTTAAAAAAAAACATTTGCGCAAAAGTTTTTTTAAAACTATATAATGAATGCACACCATTAAACTTAAAATTTTAGTCGAAGTTCGCTGTCTTCATTTTTTTTTGGTTCTCGGAGTCTGTATAATGTTAGCCACAATCTGCAGACTTGATAATTTATTCCATGCATGTCTAATTCAGAAAAGTTTTGCTATATGACATCAGCATATAAATTTTTTCTTTCAAGATGTCGTATTAATTTTTTGCCAAAATCACCAAATCATGTTAATTGTATAACTTTTTACTAAATCCCAAAAAAAGTTGATGATGCAATTAAAAATTAAATTTATAAAATTTATAAAAATAAAAATTTATTATATAACAAATATTTACAGTAAACATAGTGGTTTAAACTAAATGTAAGCTAGAAACTAAAAGAATAATTTTACAAAAGCGTATAAATTAATTTAAAGTATAAACTGAAAAAAAACAAACAAGTAACTTGAATAAAACATATAAACTGAACTAAGTAGAAAATAAATATTAAACGACTTATTTTACTAATAACTGTTCAAATCAAACTAAATTAAAGTTAAAACAAGTATTTGTACTAAAATATACAAAAAAGTGTATACAATATATATATTAAAAGAAAGAATCCCATTAAATTGTTCGCTACCAGCCGAACAAAAATCTTTTTGTAGCAACCACACATATTTTTGAATAACATTTGAATAGCATAACATTGACAATTAATTAAAATTCGATAATAATAAAGTTTTTAACACGCATCATTAAACAATAATAAATGCAAAGTGCTTAAAACTATTGTTTTTGTAAGCAGTAGCTAAAACATTAAGTCCAAAACAAACCTTAATTAATGAATAAAAATAATATTTTTTCTTCAAAATACTTTGGTAATTACTTAACTAAATACTTAACACTTTAAGTTAAGTTTTACAGTGTTAACGCTGTTTAATTTTAACTAAATTTAAAGTTTTTTTATGAAGGATTATTCAAGATTTTTTAACTTTGTGATAATTTTTTAACTTTGGTACTTTTGTACTTTTTTATAATTACACAATATAGCTCTTATTTTTTCTAGATTATGTAGAGAATTAATTAAACCTTCAGAACAAACAAATTCTATGTGTCTAGAATGGAAATTTATGTACAAAACAAGATAAATTGTAAAGCATACTCCAAAGCTGCAACCAGTGGCTTGCGGTAGTGAAAGAGTTAAACCATAAATAAATGTAAATTAAACATAAAACGAACAACTCTATTGAACCATACAAACTAAAATATAAAACCATATGAACTAAATAAAAAGGCATCATACTGCTTTTATTCTTTCTCTGCCTACAAACTCTAATAATCACAATATATGTATAATTGTGTCATGATTTTGGCTGGCTTCTACAACAAAGTAATAATAAAAAAATCATAAATATAAAAATATATATATATATATATATATATATTTGTATAATTTTTTACTGTCACAAGTATTTTTTGTGATTTAGTAAAAAATTATATAAATATTTGATTTTCTGATTTTAGTAGAAAAAATACTTATATGTCATCGCAATGACGTATAAGTATTTTTTGGTATATGACATCATCGCAATATCTTAAAAAGATATTGCGATGACATCATATACCAAAACTGTTATGAATTAAACACGCATTGAATAAATTATCAAGTATGAAGATTGCGGCTAACATTATACAGACTCAGAGAACAAAAAAAAAATGGAGACGGCGAGCTTCAACTAAAACGATAATTTTAATTTTGTTGGTATGCATTTATTATTTAGTTTCAATCAAAAAAATTCAGCCCAAATGTTTTTTTTAAACATTTTCTTTAATTAAATCATTGGTCCAGTTAATCTGAAAAATCTGGCCAGTTTTTTGTAACTAAATAATATTTCCATGGTCAATTATCAAGTGCGATCGCACCCGCTTCCTGACCAAGCCTGATATATAAATAGTATATGAGTGCAGGAGCTGAGAAATGCTCACCTAAAACAAACATGGCGAGCCATGCGACCTGCTCCTCTAAACAGCTTTTTATGAGAGCAATTCTGTTTTTACACACATTTGTTTATTCATTAAAAAATTAAATACAAAGTTTTTTTATACTCATTACAAGCTTGTAATATTAGAAGAATATGTGAGGCTGTGGCGCAGTGGTTAAAGCGCTTGCTTTATAAGCAGGAGATCCAGGTTCGAAACAACCTTGGACATATTTTCGCGTCATGGTAAGGAAGGAAAAAGAATATATACATAACGAGCGCCATTTATTGTGCCACAAAATTTTTTTTCAGACAAATATTTTCTTTGGGTTTATACACTGGCTATTTATTTATTTATAAACATGACTTATTTAATAAAAAATTTGACAAAGAGTTATAAAAGTTTTTACTGCTTATAAAAAAACCTTTTATATTTTCATATTCTAATAGAATGCAGAAATTTGCATTTTTCATCTTAGTTACAATGATAATGCCTTTCTTTTAATAAAAGTAAGCGAACTTGATCATATTGTCATCAATGCTATTACACAGAATTTTTTACCACCAAACATTTTAAGAGAAAAAAAATCTCTCTGAACTGCATATCTGTGTTTGAAAAGAAAAAATTCTTTATTTTACTAATTCTACTTTACCTTTTATTATTTATATAAAAATTTATAATACTAAAATTCTGCTAATAAAACCAAACCAATTGTTGCAGTATAAAATAACTTATATAAGTCGACAAGTTGTTAGCCATTTGTATATATGTAATGTATAATCTCTACAAAAATAGTTGTGACTGTTATGCAAAAAAATACACAATGGTATTTCGTAAGCAAAAAAGTCAATCTAAATCTCGAACTTCGTCTTACTTGTCATACTTTAGTGAGAGCAGTAAACTGATTCTGTAAACCATTCTAGAGGAATGTGGGTGAGAGCTAAAGGCAGGAAGCTTTAGCTTCCTGCCAAGGCCTATATATATATATATATATATATATATATATATATATATATATATATATATATATATATATATATATATATATATATATATATATATATATATATATATATATATATTTGTATATATCTTATACTGCTGAGTTAGGTGAGCATGATAAAATCATACTGAAATAAACTGATGCGGGGGCTTCAGTATATACATCGACTGACAAATAGCCTGACTCGCAGCGGAGTGCTGCTACATCCACTGAGGGTTTGGTATGGGTCAACAACCTTTTCATTAATTATTCATC